CGAATAATGGGATTGACCATCACATTATAATGCCCCCACGGCTGAAAGGGTGAGCACATTTTATATGACAGGGATTCTAGCCTTTGACCTGCAGATTGCGAGTCAAGTGCCCTAACTACATGGCCAAGCCAGGCCCAGCAAGATGTGAAAAGAAAAAAAAAGACATCAGAAAAACATTGCTTTACAAACCTTACGACTTAATAGAAAAATTAGATATTTTGCATATGAAAGCATTGTAATGTTTACTGATAACCTACCAAATTTCATTAACGTTCATTTACTAATTTAAAGTTATGGCATGAAAACTATAACAAGCACAAAATGGTTACGAGATCGTCACATTGACTGACCCCGTATTGAAAGAGTTAACCAGACAATCAACAAAGCATAACTCACCTACTAGTAATGATTCTTCAAACCAGAGGCAAAATGATGCAAGTAAAATGTTAAGAATATGCTTAAATTCATCCACATTGTGGCCTGCAGAATGTTTTCTAAAAGGTACTGTGACTGGCATACCAAAGACATCTCCAAATGGAGAAGGTAAATTTTAGTGATATATAACCCAAAATTCACTTTTAAGATGTATAGAAACATGTTTGTTAAAGTAGCAGGAGAAAAAGCCAAAGAGCATGATTCATTGTTAGGTATAAAAAAAACGTTTTACAAGACCATTAGAAAGGTTAGTACATGAAAGATAACACTGAATAGCCCTGATAGAAAATAACAGTCATTCTTACTAGGAATGGTAAGAAAACAGGGTCAGAAGAAAAAGTTAAAAAACAGGAGGAGGATACAAAAGTAAAAGTAAACACCAAACTGTAGGATCTGTCAAAGCCAAGGGTTCCATAGATGTAGAAATCATCCAGAACAGAAACAAAAAGCAAATGAGTGGGTGGAAAAACCCACCTTGTCTAAAATACAAGTTGATGTAGTGGGCATCAACTGAGGTGTAGAGAATGAAGGTAGTGTAGGAGGACAAACATTACTTGCTGGTCTTCTTGTTGACCAGATGCAAAAGGAGATGTTAAAATCCAATTCAACTCCTGCTAGTGTGCTTTTCCTGAAAGGGTAACCAGTTTGGATGAAATATCTGCAATGACAAGACAGTGGACGAAAAAAGATTTGAAATCAGCTGAAATGATGGAGGGGGAAGACAAGCTAAAGTGTTAAAGGAACATAAGAGCCATGTGGTAACAGAATTAAAAACAATATCAGTGAAAATGTAGTTAATGAAAATTGCAAAGTAGATATTTGAACCTAACTAAACGAATTAGGAGAACAAGAATAACTAATAGTTAATACCCGTGCAAAGGAAAATAGTCTCAAAACAAAACAAATTAAAGTACACAGGGCAAAAAACTGAGGCTGGGTCACAGTAAAATACCATATAGAATGAAGCTCAATAGCTTGAGAAATAATATGAGAAGTGGAATACGAAATCTATTAATATTTCACTAGTTTATAAAAGCACAGCAACAACCCAAATATCAAGAGAACGAAGGTGGATATTAGCAATGTCAGGTGTAGCAGAAATTGGTTTAAGATTTAAAACAGAACATACCTTAAAGAAATAAGGCTAGCAGAATCTTCATCGTGATTAGGGGTAGCAGATATTCTTGCTATGCAGACACTGAAGGTGAATAGGTCTGAGCAAAAGATTGACCTTGTTCAAAATCATGAAAAAAGGTTGGTGTTACACAACTTGAATATCCATATGATTGTGCAACATGCCAATGATACCAGAAGATGATTCAGCATTAAAACACTGACAATGGAGCCACGGAATCATCCGACACACTAGAGGCAGGCTGCATGAGAAAAGCCTCCAAAGAAGTTGATGTTAAAATATTGTTGGAAATATACACCTGGAAAAAAGTTAAGCACCCCCAAATATTTTTCAGGATTGCTTATTGAAAATAAGGTTTAATTTTCATGATGTTGAGCAATGTTCATAATTTCAAACATAATTAAAAGGATGTGAGCGTTCAGGTGTGACATTTAAATCAGGCACGTTTATTTCCCCACGTGCAACTTGCTCCCTTCTTCACGTCCAATATGCACTATTTTCTCGTGCATCAAAT